AGGATGTGTAAAAAGAAGATGGAAGGAGTACACAGAGTCACTGTATCAGAAGGAATTGGCTGACACAGAGAAATTTCATGAAATAACATATGAATATTAATTATATTGCTTGATAATATCCAAATTCTGTCTGATCACTTTTTGTTATGATGGGCACAAATATGAACCACTTCCAGTCAGTTGGACAGGTAGCTGCCTTCCAAATTTTTTTGCACAAGTGACTAATTATATACAGGGCTGTATCTCTTTACTGAAACACTACAATTGGTGTTCTGCCAGTTCTTGGAGTTTTATTTTTGCCAGTGCCTTCGGGGAAACTTGTACTTCTTCATTCAGTCCCACTGGTTCTTGATCATATGCTATCTATTGATATGATTCAACGTCAACCAGCTCTTTTTGGTACAATGACTTTCCTTTCCCACAGAATCCTTCTTTATTGCATCTTGAAGCTTGAAACAGTTCTTTAATTTCTTTCAGCTTGACAAATGCCAAGTATGTTCTTTTCTTTTGCTTTCTAACGCCAGGTCTTTGCATATTTCATTATAATACTTTGCTACATCTTCTCAATCTGCCCTTTGAAATTTTCTGTTCGTCTCTCTGACATCATCATTTCTTCATTTTGTTTTAGCCTCTCTCTGTGTTCAAGAGCAAATTTCAAAATCACTTCTGACATCCATTTTGGTCTTTTCTTTCCTCTTTCTAATGGCCTCCTGCTTTCTTCATAAATGATGTCCTTAATGTCGTTACACAACTTGTCTGGTCTCCAGTAATTAGTCAATGCCTCAAGTATATTTTACAACAGATGTCACCCCAGTTGCATGACTATTGTTTTGTAGCCTGATGAAAGACTTTAGAAGGTTTACATAAACCATAATGCCTTAGATTCTCCTTATCTATAGTCTTGTCTCTTGCTTCAAAGAACTGTAATTTGTCTATTTTTTCACATAAATAATGTTGCCGTTTTCTTTAAACTGTTAGATGTGCTAAAGAATTCAATAAGCCTCCATTTTAGTGTATCTATCCCTGTATTCCCTAGTTTGGATTGCTCTGGGTCTATCCTAGCCCTAGCTGCTGCTAATAATTCCTTACACATTGTGAGCATGACTCCACCTACAAATTATTCTTAAAAAAATTTATAAATGATACTGAATTCTAATTATATTCCTGCCTCTAGCCAGCCAACATTGTTAAGAACATCCAATTCATCCAGGCTAACATCCAAGGTTTCATTTTGCAGTGCACATACTCACAGTAGGTCAGAGCTGACTTGATGGCACTTAACAACAACAGCTGAATCCAGGCAACTTTGGTGGAAATCTTGGGAAATCAGAAAATTTCAGTATTGAAAAAGACTCCTAGACCATTCAGCCCATTTCACTATCTTCTGACTTCAGAAACACAGAAGCCAATTCTCTGGTATTTCCCTTTATCACTGAGAATAACTTTTAACTTCTTGGTTACTCAGTTTTGCCACTGATTTTTGGTCTTCCTCCATTTGTAATGCAGAAAAATTTTTAATTCTAACATTAGAATCCTTTGAGACTGTTTTAAAAATCTGTTGACCATCCCATTCCAGCAAGTAAAGGCTCATTTTCTAATAGAGTTTTAAGAGCACAGCTTTGAAATGTGTGAAGCCAAATCTGATTGACTGTATGGAGAAATAGACAAATGTATTCTAGCTGAAGGCTCCAACTCCCCGTCTCAACAAACGATAGAACATTAGACAGAATGAGCAATAGCATAGAAGAATGGAGAGGTTTGCACATGAATAACTGACTTACATTTTTAAAAAAATTTTTTTATTATTATTTTGTGTGTCTGTGTACCATCAAATCAGATCTGACTGGTACAGGAGGAGATTGTCCCTCCTTTCCCGGCAGAGCATCTGGTGGATTCGAGCCATGTGCCTCTGGGATTGCTGACTTACATTTTTAAAAATCATCTTTAGAGTTTAGAAACTCTTTTCAACTTACTCGCTTTTGTCTGAATGCTCTCTGGAGTTCTAAAAATCTCATACATTTCCTTTAGTCTTAGTATTTGAGATCCTGGTTATATTCTCAATTCCTTAAATCTATTTATTCAATAAATAATCCTACAAATCTTCATTAATACATACTGTAGTCATGATTTAAAAGTTTTTTATAGGCTCACTATTCAGACATAGAGAGAGCTCAGTTGGCCTAATGGACAGAAAGTGATGTACTAAGTCAAAGGTGGGTGACTTTAATCTGTGGCCCTTAGGCCTGGTTTTAATTGCTTTTGGTCAAACATTCTTCTAGGTCATACAGCCCTGGTCTGTCCACTTGCTGTACAGAAGTTAACTCGTGGTTGCTGTGATGTTAAAACTGTGACACTGATGTGTCAAATGTGATAACAGTTACCCTTGGTGAACAGTGTTTGGTGGAGCTCTCCTATTAAAACAAAATTGGATGCAGGAGTGGCATCCACTTCCGAAAAAGCTTGCCTCTGGAAACCCTATGAACTTGGAGAAACAATTAAAGTTATACAAGTGTTCAGGTCTTTTGATCATAGGGTTGCTGTGAGTCGCCTACGACTTAACCGCATTTAACAACAACAACATAGTCAAGATATTGCACTGGAGCTACATTTGATTTAGTGGTTTTTTTGCAATATTTACTAATTCCATTTTATATAGAAGAGTTATTTAATAACAATATGTAGTATATATTTTACAACTGTTAAAAATGTCTACAACTAAGCTAATAAACATCCTTTACTATTCTCAGTAACTGTTCTCTGAAGACAATTATGGAATTAGAATTCTCACTAGCACCTCATTGTTACATGGGAGCAGAGGCCAGTGGGGGGAGGCCCAAAATAAACAATCGAGATAGAAAACATGACTTACCTGATGTCACAGAAGGGACAGAAGGGGACAGAGGCAGGACCAGAACCCAGGTCCTCTGGCCCAGCCCTCTACACTGTCCCTTTGCTCTGGCCTTGGGTGCACCTGAGAGTTACTGTTAGACAGTTCACAATTGTGTTTTGAGACTGTCCTTAATAAAAGATTTTGCAGCCGCTACTCCATGAAATTGTCTTATTTATCCTCTTTTCTAATCTCCCTCCTCATATCCACCAACCTCATATCACAGCTCTTCACCAAAATCTCTTGCTTGAGCGTCAACAGATAACTTCCTCTTGCTGGATATTTTATTTTTACAAACACTTTAGAAATCTTTGTTGTCCTTCAAGATATACCAAATCTAGATGTTGTTATTGTTGTCATCATTGTTTTGTGCTGTCAAGTCACCTGTGCCTCATAGCGGCCCTATGTACAGCAGCTCTGAAGTCTGCCCTGTTCTGAGCCAGCCTCACTGACTCTGACACTACCTCCATTGCCCCAGTTACTATGTCAGTTCATCTCATCTGGGGTCTTCCTCTCTTGTGCTGTCCCTGCAGCCTTCCGAGCATGATGTCCTTCTTCAAAGTCCAGCCACTCCTGGCCATGTGTCCAAAAGTATGTGAGACAGAGCTTCAAAATCCTAGCCTCCATGGTGAAACCTTTATGTTACTGTCAGCCCCAACAGAGAAATCACTCCTCTCCCTAAACAATTTCTGTTATTTGAAGGATAGATTGCATTAGCAAAGATTCTTCAAAGCTGTTGCATCATCCAGAACATGGACTCTACTGGTCACAGACTTTATCTCATGAGAGGTGCCCTTTCACTCAGCACCCCAGGATCCATCCTCACAACCTGAAGTCTGATGTTCTGCAGACCTTGAAAAGTCCTTGAAAAACTACAAGTAAATGTGGCTAAATTCTCAGACTCTGAGTTACTGACAGCATACCCACATGAGGTCTCCATGAGTCAGAATCGTGGGCAACTAACAACCAAGTCCTTGCTCTCAGTTTCCCTCACCGCCCCCAGGAAATGTCACTGCAATGGAATGAATCCTAAGGCTTTTATTTCCTTCTGAGGCGTGATTTAAGCAATGTTTTTCAAATCACTGTCTTATATCCTTTCCAAATAGTCCCAGAACGTGATATCCTGCTTTGCCTTAAAAGAAATAAAGCCTGCTGCCCCGTCTGTGTGTATGTCAGGGAGCCAGAAGAATCCTAGGGCATAGGGTCCACCTGCTGCTGCTTCTTCCTTCTGGCTCCCTCTGAAATTCAGAATGAGCTGAGCCCTGTCATCTGGAGGCTCTGCCTTGACCCAGCGCTGTGCTGCCTATGGAGCCACGCTTGGGGTGCAGGTCCCTCCAGGAGCTGTGTCCTGAGGCTGCTGGGTTTATCAGCTGTCAGCAGGCTGGGTCATACCAACTGCCAAGTGGATTAATAAATATGGGGCTGACACTTTTAGGAGGGCCTGAGCCCCTCTGGTTTTCCCGCCCACTTCCTTAGATCATTTCATTATTACATTATTAAAGATTGTTGTATTTTTAAACTGAACAGTCAGTCAACCTGGGGGTTTGATGAAGCAACCTAGCCCAGTACTGCCTTTACTAAACAATCTTTGCTGGAAGCTTTTTATTTCTCTTATGGGAATAATTTAAACCCCCAAGAGCTGGAAGTAGTAGTAGAGTCTGACCCTTCTAGGATCAGGAGCCTACACAGAGAGGCTGGCAGGCCAGAAAAGGGAGCTGATTATAAATGATACAGAGAGTGGCATCAGTCAAAACTAGCTGATCTGCTGAGCAAAATGTTAGAAGAAACAAACAGCTTTGGAAGAGGAAGCAGTGAATAGAAGGATGATTTTTTTAAAAGTATATATTTTTATCATTTAAAATGCCAAGGAACAAAGATGGCTTATATAATACAGATTTTAAGCATAAACACAAAACCCAACAAAAGTCTTTTTCTAGAAATAATAAATAATTATTGCTTTCAAAATAATGAACACACAAGTAGTCAAAACCTGGCAGAAGGAGCACCTGCCCTTCTTCTTGTGTGTAATTGGTGCTATTTATTTAGAAGGTCAGCGATTTCCCGTCATGAAATAATTTCTCTTTGTGTATGTATGTTTTTCTCCCCGTTTCAGCTTAGATGGAAACCATTTGAGATTCCAAAAGCATCTCAGAAGAAATTGGACTTTGTGAGCGTAAGTCAATGCTATTCACACCTTCCCACTGCCCTCTTCTCTTCTGGGATGAGGGATCCAACTGTTTGCAGGTTGAATGCCAAATGAAATTCATCTCAGAGAAAGACATGGAGCCAAAACCACCAGTTTATGCTTGGTGGCTGACTGAGCCATGTCTTACAAGTGCCATATGGCCCCCCACACCAAAGGGTCCTTGGGAGCTGTTTACAACAACTCATCAAAGCTGGTGAAAAGCGACCACTTACCTACCTTAATGCCTTTGCTTTGAACTAAATCAGAAAATGGAGCCCTTAAAATTTCTCACTCCATGAACCACTTTGATATTCTGGTCAAGTGTATGTTTTTAAATGCATAAATTACTTTAAAACCTCTAAGAAGGCAACTATGTTGAAATACAATGGTTAAAATACCAAAAGGAAAAGTTGGTTTGCTTTATAGAATTAGCTATGCTTCTTTATTAATGCACCAAATGATAAGCTCTAGGGAGCTTTGGTGGCCTAGTGGCAAGAAGCTGCACTACAGTACCGAAGATATGCAGTTCGAATCCATGAGCTGCTCCACAGGAGAAGGATGGGAAATCTCTTGTGCGATTACCTGACTCTGACAATCTGCCGGAGGGTCAGCTATGGGTCAGTTCTGACTCAATGGTGTACAACAACAACAATGAATGATAAGCTCTAAGAATAACTCTAAAGAGCTCTCTCTGGTGATACAATGTTTAAACACTCAGGAAGTGACCAAAAGGTTGGCAGTTCAAACCATTAATTGCTCGGCCAGAGGAAGATGTGTAATCTGTGTGTGTAAAGAGCGCAGTCTTGGAAACCCTTTGGAGAAGTTCTGCTCTGTCCCACTGAGTCATGGTATTTGGGACTATCTGCAATAACTGTTATTCTGTGCCATCAAGTGGAAGGACTCGTAGCTGACCCACTAGTGGGTTTTCAGAGACTGAAAATCCCATGGGGATTGCCCATCTATCTCCCATGGAGACGCTGATGGATTCCATCACTATGCCAAGGGTTGACAGTGCATCCTTTAACCATTCGGCCGTAGTGAAATAAACATACAGGACATTTTTCATGTATGTATTTCTGTTCTTCCAAGTTCAAGAACCCCTGGGCTAGAATGGTATCAACTCAAGGTGGCTACTTTAGTTGTTGTTGTTGTTGTTGTTGCTGTTGTTGTTGTTGTTATGTGACGTTGAGTCACCTGTGATGTATAGCGACCCTATGTACAGCAGCTCTGAAGCCTGTCTTGTCCTGTCCTGAGCCAGTCTCATTGATTCTGACACACCAAACCACATTGCCCCAGTTGCTGTATAAATCCATCTCATCCAATGTCTTCCTCTCCTGCGCTGTCCGTCCATCCTTCCAAGCATTATGTCCTTCTCCAAGGACCGGTCCCCTCTGGCCACATGCCCAAAGTATGTGAGATGGAGCTTCAAAATCCTAGCCTCCAAAGAGAAATCTGATTTGCTCTACTTGGGTTGTTAATAAGTGTTACAAGTGTGACAAACAGAACTTGTTCCCAGAGCAAGAAGCCTACAGACAAAGTGATCTACAAGGACATGGGACTCAGGCCAGCGGAAGCTTCTATAGACCCATCTCAGGTCATGCCTTCCTCAGACACAAGCCAGGTGCCTAGCCATAGGTTTAATTATTAGGCTCTTCTTTAAATTATTACCAGCCTTTTGTGCTGTTGTAAACTGACTCAGATAAAAAGTCCTCACCCTGTGTAAATCATAGGAATCTGGAGATGAAGAGGTCTCTTCTTGTGAACTCTGCATCTGCAGACTTGAGGCTGATGGCTGCTTTAAGAAAGTCTGTGTGTCAAGGTCTTTTAGATGTGGATAATTTTTTCATACAGTAGGGAAGATTACAGTCAAATGCTTTTCTCTTCCCTAATACAAAAGGATTAAGATTAAGTCTCTCATAATTAGGGAGTGTCTACATGGTGGGATATATTTGAGGGACATTACCTGATCCCTATATTTGAGGGACATTACCTGATCCCTATATTCTGGTTGCACAGAGGTTAAGTGCTTGGCTGCTAACCAAAATGTTTGATGACTCAAATCCATCAGCCCCTCTGTGGGAGAAGGATGTGGCAGTTCCTTCCTAAAAGATTACAGTCTTAGAAACCTATAAGGCAGTTCTGTTCTCTTCTGTAGGGTCCTCTGTATTATAATCAACTAGATGGCATTGAATTTGATTTGGGTAACTGATGCCTGATGCTACAAAATTTCTCCCCAAGCCTCCTATGTGCCTGATCTTACCTCTGTCAGAATCTCTCATTTGGGTTGTTTCAAATAACAAACATACAAATTAGTATCCCACAAGGTCATCTAGAATAGCATTGAGACAATCCAGATTTAAGGCCATGGTCAGCAACCAATTTCTCCAGAGGCAGCCTGGGCCTGAAATGTCCCATTTGATCCCAGAAGGAAATCCTGGTGGAGCACTGATTTCCAAGGACCAAAGGGTAGGCGGGGCTCTGTGAACCAACATATGTTTTCCTTTCCTTCATACTTTATCTCTCCCAGGGCCTGCATACCTTGTGTGGAGCTGGAGACATCAGGTCTAACAATGGGCTTGCCATCCACATTTTCCTCTGCAACACCTCCATGGGGAACAGGTGAGTGACCAGAGCTGTAGCAGGACAGTCGCGGTCTCCAAAGGGCTGTTATCTGGAGAGGGAAAGTCACATCTTGTTCTTAAAAAGTCATGCACACACGAGCATTGTTTTGGGATTTTCTTTAGTGTTGGTATTTATGATGATGATGATGATGATAAAGGAACATTTTTATCTTAAACAACTCTTGTGACATAAACAAGCAATATGTAAAGTAATGAGAAACCTGAGCCTTGGAACATGGGAGTAGTACAAGAGGCATTTTGAAAGTGTAATTAGACTTAATTCAAAATATCTTTGTGTGTACTGTCAAATTGGATCTGACAGGTATAGGAGGAGATTGCCTCTCCTTCTTCAGCAGAGGATCTGGTAGATTTGAACCGCAAACTTCTGGAATTACACTGCAGCTTTTTGCCACTAGGCCACCAGAACTCTTTAGTTCTAAGCTCTCCAGGTTTATTCTTGAGTCCAAAGTCACACTGTGTAAGCAGCCATGAGGGCCATCTGTTGGTGGTAGGTCAAGCTGACAGAGTGGCTTCAGTTAATGGCTTTGTTTAAGCTTAAAATTCTTACATAAAGTAACTTGTATACTTATTATTTTTCTAATAACTGTGAAAAAACCCATAATTGAGATTTCTACCTTTTCTTTGGCAAATAAAATATCCTGGAGGTTTTCTATTTTAGTTCTGGAACTACATTGTTTGCATCACAACTTTACTCTGCCCATATGAGAGACATAAGGGAAGTTGTTTAACTTCTCTGGTCCATATACAGCCTGGTCCAGAAAACATTCTCAGCAAATGTTATCTGTTATTACCTTCACTACGTGACTGTGTTGATAGCCTAGTGTGTACAGAGGTGAACTTCAAAACCAAAGGTAGAACTTCCCTAGCCACTCTAATCCACCAGGGGTTCCTCAGGAGAAAGATGAGCTGTGTTGATAGCCTAGTGTGTACAGAGGTGAACTTCAAAACCAAAGGTAGAACTTCCCTAGCCACTCTAATCCACCAGGGGTTCCTCAGGAGAAAGATGAGCAGTCTCCTCCTGTGCAATTTACAGTCTCCGCAAACCAGAAGACGGTCAGCTATGAATAGGTTCTAACAGCAATAAGTGTGAGTTTTAAAATGGCCCATATTTTCCAAAGTCTTTACCATGATTTTAGCATTGCTGTTGTTAGTCTTTCTATCCAAACCAAATGAATTCTTTCAAATATGGTCTTTATTTCTTATCCATGTTCTTTTTCTCCATTTTAAAAATTTTTTTATTTGTCCACTTTAATTAATAATCTTCAGGCTGCATTGGTGAATTGCTTTTGGGTGTTTTTCCCCCCTTAATTTTAATGAAATTTTACAGAGACTTTGGGTTTCCAATCATTCACTGTTGCAGTTTTCTCCTGTGAATTCTTTTTAAGGAAGTCACTGACTTTTTCCCTCATTGAGTTCTTTCAGGGAAGGTATTTTTTAAAATGGAGATCCAACGAGAAGACACTCAAATTCTGACATTGCAGATTTGCTAATTAGCCCGCCTCCTCTCAAAAAAAGCGGACTTTTTTCCTCTTTTTTTT